TTTTTCCATTACTTATCAAAATACCGTTTATATGGAATTCTTTCTTCACCGAGGGGTTAACATTTTATTTAAAAGGAGGACAATTAAAATTTAAACACTAGTCAAAAATGTTGGCTAGGATGTGGAGAAGCTAGAACTCTCATATAATGCTGGTGAAAGGGTAAAACGATGCTTCACTTTGGAAAACAGTTGGGCAGTTTGTATAAGTTACACATACACTCACCATCCAGCCCACCATTTCCACTTCTTGACATCGATTACCCAAGGGAAGCCAGAACATTTGTCCTCGTGAATACTGGTATGTGAATGTTCAAAGTGGCTTTATTCCCCATGGCCAGAAAGGAAACAGCCCAAATGCTCATCAGCAGATGAATGGGAAAGCAAAACGGGTGATAGCACATGACTGAATGCTACGTGGGTGGAGGCCACACCCTTGCGGCGAGTGGAGAACCAAACACAAGGAAGTGCACACCCTGTGGTCCGTCTGTGTGAGAGCCTCGAGGATACAGACCTGGGCTCCCGTGGACCACAACCACCCCTCAACAGTTTGCTGGTTTGGCGAGGAGGAGCGGGGAGTGGAATTGACTGGGAAGCTCAGTAGGGAACTTTCTGGGATGATGGAAATGTTTTGTGTCCTGGTGGTGGTTACACTGTGATATGCAGTTGTCAAAACTCATTTAGCAGTACGCTTTAAATGGGCACGTGTTACTGTCTGTAAATTGTGCCTCAGTAAAGTAAATTTGAAAAGGAAACATTGATTTCACTGTGTATTTCTTAAACTACCCTGTTGTATTATTTCGTTTTGTTAACTTATTACCCATATGGATATTTTTGAAGTTTTGTATCTGAACTAGACTAGAATATATCTTACCAATTTTTTAAAAGGTGCTAATCTTAAATTTAGGAACATAAAAATTAGAAAATCATGTTGTTTTTGTTTTTTGTGAGTGTTGTGATTTATTTATAATCTTACACCATCTCTAGGGGTCAGGAAGTCAAGGCTCGGCTGCGTGCCGTGGCGCGGGGTCTGTAGCGGCGGTGTGGTGGTCAGGATGTCGGCCAGGACAGCTGTCGTCGGGAGACTCACTGGGCTGGAGGCTCTGCTTCCAAACCCGTGAAATAATATTTTTATTTGGAATTTCTGTAAAGTCAGGAATAATAATGTAAAGAGGGTTTAGCTTCCAATTTAGATTCACTGTTTTGGGGTAAGAGGTTTAAGAGGCACCTTTTGTTTTCAGACCTGCAGTCCCCATGATGACTGGACTCAGGGTGGCTGAAATGTCCTGCGTTTCTGAGCTGCTCACGGGCTTCCCAGGAGGAGCATCAGGCTGAACAGCACACTTTTACAGCAGCACATGTGACATTCCATGTCCTTGCTGCTACTCTGGGAAAATGCTCTTATTTATAAATATAAGAACAAAGGAAAACTGAGCTCAGGTTCTGTACCTCATAGTTGAATTTGCTGGGCAACCTGATTGCTTCGCATGTGAGGTTTTTAATCTCATCAGAAGAGCCCACCGGAAACAGGGAGAAACTGCATTTTACTTTTCTGTTTCCTACAGTGTCTAGAATTGTACATGGCATATCGAGGGTAAATGAATTATTATGGAATCAAACCTGTATAGTACTCCAAACCAACCAACCAACCAGCCAGCACCTGACCACTACACAGCCACCCTGGCCTGAAAGTCGGGACACCTGCTCACGCTGGGACCTCGAGCACATGGCTCAGTCTCTTCACTGAGGAAGCCCCACTGCTGCTGCTTATAGCCTTTCTGGGCAGACGGGAATGAGGGGACATGGTCAGAAGGGAGGGGAGAGGGGCCCGAGGAAACGTGGGTTTCTGAGGTGTCAGGAATGATCTGCTGAGGCAAGTGAAGTGGTGAGGAGGATATAGACTCTCCGTGGGAAGACAGAATTTAAAAAGTCTGAGCTTTCAAGTTTGGAAAGATGCTGTCTGTGTAGATGTGCGATCAGGGTATGGTAGAAGGATTGAGGAAGTGCTGATTCCACGTATAAATCCATTCACCAAACGTTGATCGTTGGTCGGGGTCTGTGGCCAGGCCTGGCCGGGGGCCGGGTGCCAGTGGTCTAGGCCCTGTGGAGTCTCTCCCAGGCTGGCGTGAGCTGGAGGGTCCCTGGTACAAGTTCTCTGTCTGGTGAGTATTTCATATATAAAAGTATTGTAAGTTAGAGGAATGAAGTCTCCTAATTCACTGTCCCTGCAAGTAGATTTGTGGGCATCTGGAGAAAGAAGGGAAGGGGATGGTGTGCTCAGAGAAGGGGGGGGGTTCTGTTTTCCTCTGCG